GTGGGGGCTCAGGGCCCTTCCTGCCCCTCCCCACGTCCTGGGGCCAGCGGTTGGAGTGGCCGAGGGCTGGGATTGAGGTCTGCCGCTGAGGGTGGGGGCCGGGAGAGAGAAGGCGGTGGGCACAGGAGCCGACAGCCTGACGTGACAGGTGGGGCCGTGCACGGCACACGGACGAGCAGCCGGTCCACACACACTTGGTGGCAACGCCGGTGTCAGCCCCAGCAGCGGTGGCGGGTCCGGCACTGTTTACCCCCAAGAAGCTATTCTGTGTCCCGACCCAATCTACGGTCACTCAGCTATGGCTATAGCCACGGTTGAACAAAATCCAATTTCGTCTCTGGACATAGAAGACCACCATCCCAACCGTCACGGCTACCTTGGATCCTGGTGGAAGGGGGCTGCAGGCGGGGAGGGAGGGAGCGGATTAACGAGGGAGGAGTGAGGCTGGCTGAGTGAGGCTGGCTGAGTGAGGCTGGCTGGGAAACAGAAGCAGAGGCCCCCCTCGGGGCAGGGGCCCGGGATACCCAGGTCTCCGGAGCTGCCGAGGAGCCAGGTGCCAGCTGGGGTCCCAGGCAGGGCCGGCGCTGTCTTCGCAGGCACGGGCTCCCCCCAAGGGCCGGGCTGGGCTGCGGGCTTCACTGCCTTGCCCCAGCCCAGTTTGCCCTCACAGCATCCCAGGGCTTGGCCGTCTCTTGCTCCGGTCCATGTCCTTTAGGTCTGAGTGACCTGCTTTTTCTGAAAGGATCACGTTGCCTTTTGGCAAAAAAATCCAAGTAAAATGTGCACATGGTTAACTGAGGAACGTGTAAGGAAAAGCCCGGTCCACAGCCCCTGCCGCGCGGGACGCGGGACGCCAGGCGGTGCGAGCCAGGTGGTGCGTGCCAGGCGGTGCCCCCTTCGCTGCGGGGCCAGTGCCGGGACCCCAGGGCCATCCCAGGACGGGGCCTCTGGTGTCGTGGTCCACGGGGTCCCCTTCCTCGTGGTCTCTCCGTCGCTCCACGTTGCGCCCCAGTCCAGCCCCCGCGCGTCATGGATAAACCACAGTTTGCCGACTTGCGCTGATGTTTCTTTTCGTTTTTCTGGAGTTTCTAATTGCTGTTGTTTTTCCTGTTGGGGAAGAAGCGTGCGCCTCCTCCACTCGTCCCTATGACCCCCCGACTCCTTTCCCACCCACTCGGCTGCTTCTCGAAGCCGTCGGCGGCCCCCCGCCCGGAGTGGCCGGCAGCCCCATCCACCCTGGGCTCCTGGTGCAGACCACTTCTCATTCGCCGGGGTCCTACACGGGTGGGGCCCTCCCTGGCCTCACCCTGCTCCTCCCGTCTTGGGGTGCCAGGTACCCAGTGATCCTGTCCATCGAGAACCACTGCAGTGTCATCCAGCAGAAGAAGATGGCCCAGTATCTGACCGACATCCTCGGGGACAAGCTGGACTTGTCGTCACTGAGCAGCGAGGACACCACCATGCTGCCCTCTCCGCAGGAGCTCAAGGGCAAGATCTTGGTGAAGGTGAGCCCTCGCCCGGCCCTGGGGCCTCCGACTTGGGACCACGGGTTGGCAGATTGGAGCGGTCAGCGTAGGCTGTCCGTCTGTCCACGGTGGCCACTCAACCTGGGGACCTCCACACGCACACCCAGGCCTTACAGCCCCGTGACACTGCAGCCAGGAAGTGGGGGGCTGGCCTGAGAAAGGCACCTCGCTCTGCGGCTGCCCCCGGTACCGCCTCCCAGCGCGCCTCCCATGGCCGCCTCCCACAGGGCAAGAAGCTCCCGGCCAGCATCAGCGAGGACGCGGAGGAGGGCGAGGTGTCCGACGAGGACAGTGCCGACGAGATCGACGAGGACTGCAAGCTCCTGGACGGGGATGTGAGTGGGGGCCGGGGAGGTGGGGGACTGTGGCGGACGCCCGGGCTAGCTGGCCGAACCACCAGGCCGCTGGGCACACACTCGGCCTGAGGACGTCGCCCACCCCTGGGACACGCCCCCCGAGTTCCAGCTGCTGTGCCGGAGCATCTGGGCACACAGCACTGGTGGTCCGTCTGGGCTCCCCTTTCCAAGCCAACTCTTGGGGCTCCGTGTGCTCAGCCTGCCCACTCCTCTGGCTCCCGTCAGCAAGTGGGGGCAGTGCCGGTGGAAGGGGTCCTCCTGCGTACCCCGCCACCCCGCCCACGCCTGCACCTGCCTGGGCTCTGACCCGGAACACCTCCTTCCTGGCCTCCAGCTCCCCGCTGGGTAGCCCAGCGGTCCTGCCCGGCCATCCCCAGCCCCACCTCCAAGCAGTGCTGGCCCAGAGCCAGCCTGGCCTTGCCGGGGTCCCAGCCGTCACCTCCCCAGAGTGCTGTCTCCTCCTCATTGTAGCTTTGCTGTGGGAGGGGGGATGGGAGGCTCAGGAAGGGCTTCCTGCCCTCTGCTCACGGCCTCTGTAGTTAGCACCTTCTCCCTCGGGGCCCTGCCCTGAGCAGCCCAGGCTAGGGGGCTGTGAAGGCCACATTTCTCCCTGCGGGGCCGTAGGATGTGAGGATAATCGTGCAGGAAATCCCCGCCTGGCCGCTGACTGTTTCGGCCCCGAGGCAGTGATTTCTCCTGCTTCGCTGTGCCCACGCTTGGCCCAAGGGGAGGGCAAACCGGGTTCTGTGAGGTCTTCCTTGCACCTGCTCCAGCCCGGGCCCAGAGCGTTTAGAGGCCCAAGGCCCAGGCTGTGCCCCAGTGGGGTCCAAGTTCATCAGGGTCACTCCGGGGACTGCCCCGGGCAGAAGGGAGCCTGGAGGCGACGCTGGCCAGCGCCCGGCCGTGGCCAGCCAGGTACTGTCTCGCCCCTGCCCATCCGAGGACACTGGGGACTCCAGACCCGGAGTTGCTGAGTCCAGAGTGGCCGCCGGTGGCACTGACCCCCTTCCCCTTGGCCCGGTGGGCCAGGCGCCCTGTGAGTGCTCGGCTGGGTCCCCCCGGGCAGCGTGGTGCAGCTGAAGGAGGCTGCTTTCCAGCGCAGGGTTCGGGCCTGCTCGGCACTGTCTGCAGCCGGGGCGAATCGCGTGCCTGCCGTGTGCTACAGGTGGGCAGTGTGGCTGCAAGAACCGCCCCGTGGCATAGGAGGGAGGCTGCAGCCAGAGCCGCTGGGAGAGGCCCAGCCGGCCCCGCGGCCCTGCCCCAGATCCTGGGGTGTGTTGGGGCTGCTGCCCGCAGGGCTGGGGACTGATGCCGGGCCTGGCCGGTGGCTGTTGCAGGCCTCCACCCATCGGAAGCGTGTGGAACACATCGCCAAGAGGAAACTGGAGTCCCTAATCAAGGAGTCGAAGATTCGAGACTGTGAGGACCCCAACGACTTCACAGTGTCCACGCTGTCCCCGCTGGGGAGGCCCGGGGGCAAGGCAGAGCGTAAAACGGTGAGCGGCATGGACCCTGGGGCCACTGGCGGCCCCACAGGCGGGGCTCCAGAGCATGTCTGTGCACGCCTGTCCACGTGTGCACACACGTCCACTTGTGTGTGTAGACACACACATGAACCTGTGCACACACGCACACCTGCACACAGAGCTGCATGGGACCCACAGCCTTCGTCATGTCACGGGGGGATAGCTGGGCGGAGGTGTGCTCTGTGTTTGTGGCTGGCCACCTAGCCTGTCCCCTGGAGGCCTGGGAAGGGAACTTAGGCATTGCCTGGGGGCCAGAGGCCCCGCTGCTGACCGGTCTCCTGAGTGACAGGGAGCATTTCACAGAGAGGGTTAGTAGGGTGGGTTACCTAGGGTCTCGGAGCCCAGCCAATCCTGGGGAGCTGCCCAGACTTGTGGGGCAGTGCGGCTGGACACATTGGGGTGGGGGCTGTGAGGGCAGACGTGCCAGGCTGGGTCAGGGAGGCTGAGCTGTCGGGGTCTGTCCTGGAGGGGAACAGCAAACTTCGAAGGACAGGCCCATCGGCCACGTGGCCGGAGCAGTGGTGGTGCCCCAGGGCTTGTGGCAGGCAGGCGGCTGCCCCGGGAGCGAGCGGGGCTCAGGCCAGCCCAGCAGGCCTGTTTGCAGGTGAGCAGGGCTCCAGTGGGTGGCGGGTGCCCACCCTGTCACAGACCTTGGTCACAAACCTTGCCACTGTCCAAGCCCTGGGACATGCGGGAAGGCAGGTTGGGGTGAGGGGGACTGGCCCCCCATGGAGTATTTAGATGAGGGTGTGTGAGTCCCACCCACGGGGTACGAGGTGCAGCTGGCACCGACGTAAACTTGAGGGCTGCTCCGTGCAGGTGGCTGTCACAGGCCCCTTGCCGACAGGAAGTCATTTATTTTCAGTCTCCAGACATCTAGGTGGAGAAAACAGCGCCTGAGGCCCCAGCGGGTGGGCAGGCGGGCAGGGTGCCCGGTGCGGCGCTGCTCAGCTAGGCAGGGGCGATGTGGAGGCCCCACCTTCCCTCAGCCTGGGGGCGCACAGCAGGGCAGCTGGGCCCCGGGACCTTGCGTCTGAGCTGCCTTCTGTGGGGCAAGGGGTAGGCACTCAGGGAAGGCTTCTTGGGGGAGGAGGCAGACAGAAGTCCGGCTGAGCTGCCAGGTGTGGGGACTGGGGGATGGGGAACCCCACCCCACCTGCAGCACCAGGCCCCCCCGAGTGGGTGGAACACAGAGCCATCTGAGGGGCCCAGGCAGGGGCGGCTGTCTGGGCCGGTGGGGCCATGGACACGCCCCACATGCCTGTCTGTCCCATCTGCCACCGGGCCAGAGGCCGTAGGCCCCATTCCCTGGGTCCCAGTGAGGGTCCCCGTGGGACAGGCTGGGTGTGTGGGGCGCAGCAGGAGTGGCTTCTGGAGGGGCAGAGGCGGACGGGCCAGGAAGGGGACACACAGGCCTTGTCCACTGTGGAAGCCCAGGCCCCCGACCCCAGCGCGGCCAGGACTGGGCCTTCTCGGTCGGAGAGCCCTGCTGGCTGTGGTCCGTCCGAGGTGTGGGCACTGCGCGGTTGTCCAGGCTACCTTGCCTGCCCAGCTCTGCGTGAGCCCTGGGCTGCGTGCTGGCCCTCCACTGCCCACAGCCCTGCCGTCCACAGCCCCCAAGGTCGGCGCTGTGTCGCTCGCCAAGCTCACAGTGTGGGGGTGACCGTGGATTCTGGCCACGGCCACGGCCACTCGGGGACACTGGGCTGGCACACGCTGATTGGGCCCAGGTCCACAGGCCCTCGTGCGTGGGTTTGGGGCGAAGCTTAAAGAGCCGCCAGCACGTTGGCTTCCACTGTCTCTGAACACCCCAGATGGGCTCCCCGTACCCCAGACAGGCTCTCCATACCTCAAACAGGCTCCCTGCACCCCAGACAGGCTCTCCACACCTCGACAGGCACCCCACACCCCAGACGGGCAGGCTGCACCCCAGGCGGGCTACCCACACCCCAGACGAGCTCTCCGCACCCCAGACAGGCTCCCCGTACCCCAGACAGGCTCTCCGCACCCCGACAGGCACCCCACACCCCAGACAGCAATGCTGCACCCCAGATGGGTTACCCACACCCCAGACGAGCTCTCCGTACCCCAGACGGGCTCCCCACACTCCAGACAGGCTCTCCGCACCCTGACAGGCACCCCGCACCCCGGACGGGCACCCCGCACCCCAGACGGGCTCCTCGCACCCCAGACGGGCTCTCCGTACCCCAGACGGGCTCCCTGCACCCCAGATGGGCACCCCGCACCTCCGCCAGCAAGCACGATCATCAGTGAATGAGCGAACGGGCTGGGTCGCTGGGGCCAGGGAGGGGGGATGCTTCAAGGGCAGCTGGGGCTCAGCCAGGGCCTCCGTAATCGCTGTCAGTGCCCACTGTGCAGCCCACAGACCGGAAGGCACCGGAGGGCACAGCCAGGCCCCTCGGCCACTCGGACAGTGTGGCGGACAGACCTAGATGGGAGGCAGGAGCCAGCCAGGTGCCCCTCCTGGCCCCCCACAAGGGCAAGGAGGCAGGGGCAGAGGTGGCAGAGCTGCGCCCCAGGGCAGGAGTGGACGGGGGCTGGGGGAGTGGCCACGGCCGGCCTTCTCCCGACATACTCCCTCTCCCAGGGAGAGCTGCGGTGGGCGGTGCCCAGGCTGATGAGACCAGGGCCGGGTGCCCACGGGGGGCTCTTCGGCGCACCTCCAGAGCGTGGGGTGCCCTCCATTCTGCCCATGGGGGGACGCTGAGCGTCCTGCTCTCTCCCGCCAGACGCAGTGGGGTCTGCACCAGAGGGGCCTTGCTCCCCGCCGGGAGGAGGGTCTGGTGGGCCGGCTGGGGCGTGGGGGGCTCGTGTGCAGGGGCACGTGTGCAGAGATGGGCATGTGCAGGGTCACGTACGCGCCACTGCCTCTGGCTGAAGCGCCTCCAGCATGGACCCTCGGCCACGTGTGCAGGGCTTCGGCAAGCCTGTCAGCCAGCTCCCACCCCGGACGGGTCCGAGTCATGGGGCAGTGGCCTGTGCCGGGTGTGCCCAGCACCCGGGGCCCCCTGCCCTGTCCCTGTGCCCGCCGGAGCTGCATGGGTGTGGGGGCGTCTGCGGAGAGGCTGGGAGGTGTGGCTGCAGCGGCCTTGGGGGTGCTGGCATGGGCTCCCAGCAGCTCCCAGGGTGTGAATGACTCTTGAGGTGGATGAGGTTTGTGCCCCGGCCCCGGAGGAAAGCAGGCCGCGGTGCTGCCAGGAGCAGGGGTGGCCCTGGGGCGGGTGGCGGTGTGGCTGGGACGGGTGCCGGGGTGTGTAAGGGGCGGAAGGCTCCGTCCTGGGCGGTTGGCCGCACGGCAGCCCTGAGGGTGAACCGGAGACAGCCGCAGCTGTGGGGCACGCAGGCCCCCATTCTCTCCAATTAGGTAATACCTTGGCCGCTGTGAGAAGCAGGCCAGCAGACCAGAGCTGCAAGGCGCCCGCAGAAGGGTTACATAAGCAGACTTGGCTGAGGAATGTTCCAGACATACAAACGGCATTGATTGTGCAGTCATCATCAGTGGGGGAAAAAGCCACTCAGGGCTGGGAACTTAATGAGTTTACGACTCATCCCGAGCAGCCGATGCAGGCGACGCAGGCGAGGGCCATCGCCATCAGGGCCCTGCCTGCCCTCCTCGGGCCTCTGCTGCCTCTGTGCCCCAGGCGGGCTGTGGACTGTGCCTCCCGCGGGGCTGGGGGCAGCAGCCAGCCCACCCAGCTGCCCGCTGTGCACCAGCCCCGCTCTGGGAAGGCCACCTGGGCTACCTAGAGGAGCTGCCTGCCCCTACCCAGCCTGGTCTGACACTGGGCTCATCCTGTCCCTCTGTCCCTCCCTTCCCCCAGGCCGAGGAGGACGTGGAGTCTGCGGAGGGTGCAGGAACCAGCAGACGGAACAGCCGGCTCCCCATGAGCAGTTTCTCCAAGCGCAAGGTCCAGCTGGGCTCCCTGCCCCCACCAGCTGTCCCTGTGCCCGCCAGAGTGGGGGGTCTCCTCCAGCCCCCGGGGCCCCTGGCTCACCTCCCAGCACCTTCCTTGGAGTCTCCAGCTGCGTCATCTGGCGGCAGGGGCTGGAGTTGTAGGCCTGGTCGGGGCTGGATGGAGCAGGTGCCTCAATGACCCTCCCCTGACCCACACTGGCCAATGCCCTGAGCTCAGGTCACCCGGGGCCCCGGCCAAGCAGGGCACTGCAGAGTCTGGGGCAGACCCGGCTGGGCAGTGTGGACGCCAGGACCCCAGAATGGCAGCCGACCTGTACCCCGCGACCTCTGCTGTGGCCTGGCCGGGCCTGGCTCCACAGGCCCTTACACCGCTCCGTCCCGCACAGAAAAAGGGCAGCAAGCTGAAGAAGGTGGCCAGCGTGGAGGAGGTGGACGGGGACCTGGACTCGCAGGGCAGCCAGAGCCGAGGGTCAGTGCCTCGGGCAGGCAGCGGTGTGGGGCATGCTGGGTCTCGTCCTGGCGGCAGCAGAAGCACAATGGCCCGGGGCGGCTCAGGGGAACTGCAGCGGGGGCCCAGGGCAGGTCCCCGAGCTTGTCCCGGAGCCAGCACGTCACAGGCATTCTCGGGTGGGCCCCGTGCCTGCTCTGCCCCCAGTGTCGCCTCTCGGTGCATCCCCTGCCCGTCCCCTGCCCATCCAGGCACCTGGAACGTGGGGCTGAGGGGACGCCTAACGTGCATTCTACGTGAATCCGTGAACCTGGCCGGACCGGGAGCCTGCCTCTCAGACCAGGGCACCTGGGCAGGCCTGAGTGGGGCGGGGTGCTGACCCCGGGTCCTGACCCCTGGCCCCGTCCTCCCCGCAGGGCGACCCGGCAGAAGAAGACCATGCAGCTGTCACGGGCACTGTCGGACCTGGTGAAGTACACCAAGTCCGTGGGCGCCCACGACGTGGACACCGAGGGTGAGGGGGGCCGAGACTCGGGGGGCGCCGGGGAGGGCCCGGCTGCCACCCAGGGCCCCCTGACGCCGGCCGTCGGTGCCCACAGTGGCGTCCAGCTGGCAGGTGTCGTCCTTCAGCGAGACCAAGGCCCAGCAGACGCTGCAGCAGAAGCCAGCACAGTACCTGCGCTTCAACCAGCGGCAGCTCTCCCGCGTCTACCCGTCCTCCTACCGCGTGGACTCCAGCAACTACAACCCACAGCCCTTCTGGAACGCCGGCTGCCAGATGGGTGGGCGCCCAGAGCCGCGCGGGTGCGGCCGGGGGGGTGGGGGGGGTGGCCGGCGCACCTGGGCCCGTGCTCGGTCCCCCCCGGCTTTGAGGACCTGCACGGCGTCCTGCCAGCTGGCCCTGGGAGGGGTCCTTCGTCCTTGGGTGCGTGGGGGTCAGCTGGGCAGGGCCCCAGGGACGGTTGGCCAGGAGGCACGGCCATGCTTGTGCACACGGGTGAGCCGTGGGCCCCCTGCTCACGGAGGTGAATGCCAGGCTCACGGGCCACGGGCAGGGCTGGTGGGAGGACGCAGGCCATGTGCTGACTGGGCCATCTCGCGTCCTCACCTGCAGTCGCCCTGAACTACCAGTCGGAGGGGCGGATGCTGCAACTGAACAGGGCCAAGTTCAGCGCCAACGGCAACTGCGGCTACGTGCTGAAGCCGCGGTGCATGTGCCAGGGTGAGGCCCTGGGGGGCGGGACACGGGGGCGGGGCCGCGCCGGGACCACGTGAGGCAGTGTAAGGACCTGCGGGGGCTGCGTTAGGGGCCCGCCCCCCACAGGCCTGGAGCTCTGTCTGCGCAAGGCCTTTGTAGGAGCCCCCTCCTGTTCCCAGACCCCGTTTCCTCGTTTCCTCCTGATGTGCTGAGAAGGCCAGGGCTTCTTCCCACAGCCCTAAGCCTCCACCCACGCTCGCCACCCCCGCCACGCCCCCCACGCCC